CTCAAAAAAAAAGCAACCAATAAGTATTTATTTCTGTTTTTTTTTTTTTTTCTGAGACAGTGTCTTACTATGTCACCCTCGGTAGAGGGCTGTGGTATCACAGCTCACAAAAACCTCAAACTCTTGGGCTAAAGCAATTCTCTTGCCTCAGCCTCCCAAGTAGCTGGGACTATAGGCACTCGCCAAAGCACCCAGCTGTTTTTTCCTTTTTCTTTTTCTTTTTTTTTAAGAGACGAGATCTCACTCTGACTCAGGCTCAGACTAGTCCATCTGCCTTAGCCTCCCAGGGTGTTAGGATTACATGTATGAGCCACTGTGCCCAGCCCTAGTAATTCTTTATATCTTTTCTTTTTTCTTCATATCTTTTTTGAGACAGAGTCTTGCTCTATTGCTCTTAAAGTGCTGTGCTGTCAGCCTAGCTCATAGCAATCTCAAACTCGTGGGTTCAAGCGGTCCTTCCTGCCTCAGCCTCCCTAGTATGGTCATCAGCCACAACTCCTGGCTCATTTTTCTATTAGTAGAGAGGGGTCTCACACTTGTTCAGGCTGTTCTCAAACTCCTGGGTTCAAGCTGTCCTCCCATATCAGCCTCCCAGAGTGCAAGGATTACAGGTGTGAGCCACCAGGCCCATATCATTTTTTTAAAATCAAGACAAGAGTTTCACTTTGTTGCCCTCTATAGAGTACAGTAGCATCATACCTCTTAGCAACCTTAAACTCTTGGGCTCAAGCGATTCTCCTGCTTCAGCCTCCCTAGTAGCTGGGACTACAGGTGCCTACTACAAACTACTTTTTTTTGTTTAACAGGCCTGGGCCGGGTTCGAACCCACCAGCCCTGGAGCATGTGGCCAGCACCCTAACTACTGAGCTATGGGCACTCAGCCCTTGTCTGCATTTTAGATCATTTCCTGAGGATCTGGATCTGGGGTGCTCATTTTACCTTACTCTTGCGAGGGTTACTAAGAATATAAATCATTTCTGAAAAGTCTTCATGTAGACAGCTTTAACCCACCATTCCATGTAGTGGTGGTGTTTTTTTTGGTGGAAGTCTACAGATGTTCCATTTTGATTTTGTCAATTTTATCTTTCTTCACTCACACTGACCTCCTTTTCCGTAAGAATTCTGCCCACTGTCTGAAGTAGATAGGACAGACACTTTGCAGATACATTTGAAAGTCAGATCAAGTAGGTACCCAGCAAAGTCACACAGCAAGACAGTGGGACTGGAAATAATGTTTAGTATTATTCTTTACTTATGTGGCACTGAAAATACACTGAAATCTATTATTTTATTTTATTTGACTTTCATAATAACCTATAAGGTATATAGGATAAATGGGCCTGTTTCAAATATAATAGAACAGAGAAATTATGTGGTTTGTACAGTATTTCATGTACCTTAATTGGAGGATTAAGAGCATGAGTATTAAGAGTATGCTGCCAAGGCTCAGTGCCTGTAGCTTAGCAGCTAAGGCGCCAGCCACACACACCAGGGCTGACAGGTTCAAACCCAGCCAGGGTTTGCCAAACAACAATGGCAACTACAACAAAAAAATAGCCAGGCATTGTGGCAGGCCCCTATAATCTCAGCTACTCAGGTGGCTGAGGCGAGATGATCACTAGAGCCCAATAGTTTGAAGTTGATATGAGCTATGATGTCATGGCACTCTACCCAAGGCAACAGGGTAAGACTCTGTCTTAAAAAAAAAAAAAAATTAGGGCATCACCTGTGGCTCAAGGAGTAGGACCCCCATATACCAGAGGTGGTGGGTTCAAACCCAGCCCCAGCCAAAAACTGCCAAAAAAAAAAATTACATAATAAAAAGAGATAATGTTTCCTTACTTACTGCTTATCCAACCGACTGTTACAGTATGATGAGTGTCTTTTTGCACTTGAATATCTGTATGCACAGATATCTGTATGTGTTCATGGAGTGTGCCTATGTATGTGTATTTTTGACACTGTATATTTTCTAAAACTTAGCCTTTTTCATTTAACACTTGATATGGACATATTTCCAAATCAGTGCATTTAGATTTACATTTACGTTCTTTTTTTTTTTTTTTCGTTGCAGTTAATGGCCGGGGCTGGGTTTAAACCCCGCCACCTCCTGCATATGGGGCCGGCACCCTATTCCTTTGAGCCACAGGTGCCGCTCAATTCATGTTTACTTTTAAAAACAAGCAGCTGCATGGTATTTCCATCAAATTGTTGGGTTCTAAGATACTATGGTTTTTGGTTTTGTTTTTTAAATGGAGGGGAATTTTTTTTTTTTTTTAAGAGACAGAGTCTCACTTTATTGCCCTTGGTAGAGTGCCGTGGCGTCACAGCTCACAGGAACCTCTAACTCATGGGCTTAGGCAATTCTCTTGCCTCAGCCTCTTGAGTAGCTGGGACTACAGGTGCCCGCCACCTTACTATTTATCCAACCCACTGTTATAGTATGATGTGTGTCTTTTTGCACTTGAGTATGTGTATGCACGTGTTGTGGAGTGTGAGCCTGCCCATATATGGGGCTGGCGCCCTACTCACTGAGCCACAGGCACCGCCTGATATTACAGTTTTAAAAAGAAGATTTTGAATTTTTTAAATAAAATCTTTTATTTTATTTATTTATTTATTTATTTATTTTTCAGTTTTTGGCCAGGGCTGGGTTTGAACCTGCCACATCTGGCATATGGGGCCAGCACCCTACTCCTTTGAGCCACAGGCACTGCCTTATTTATTTATTTTTTGAGACAGAATCTCAAGCTGTCGCCTTGGGTAGTGTGCTGTGACATCATAGCTCACAGCAGCCTCCAACTTTTGGGCTCAAGTGATCCTCTTGTCTCAGTTTTTCTGTTTTTAGTAGAGACAAGGTCTCACTCTTGCTCAGGTTGGTCTCGAACTCGTGAGCTCAAGTAATCCACCCATGCCAATAATTCAGCCTCCCAGAGTGCTAGGATTACAGGCATGAGCCACCCAGCCAACACCCAGCTATTTTTTTTAGAGTCTCACTTTGTGGGACTCTAAATGGGATTGCCTTCTTGATTTTGTTTTTTCCAGGTAGTTTGTTGTTCATGTATAGAAAAGCTACTGACTGTTATATCTTGATTTTGTAGCCTGCAGCTATAATGAATTCTTATGTCATTTTAAAGAGTTTTTTAGTAGAGTTTTTAAGAATTTACTATATAAGTGAGCTCACAGCTCACAGCAACTTCCAGCTCTTTGGCTTAGG